TTTTTACCTGCTCATTTACTGATTTTCATGCAGGGCGCTGATCGGCATGTTCTTGTTTGGGATATTCGGAATGGAAGCTGTGTTCAAAGATTTGGTGATCATGAGGCTGATGTGAACTGCGTTAGATTTACTCCGAGTGGTGATGGTTTTGCTACTGGTTCAGATGATTCTACTGTATGTTCAATATATTAATCTTCTGTTAATTTTAGTTGTAAAAATTTTTTGTAGGTTCAGAGCTTGTTAAATTTTTTTAGTGTTCTGATGTTGTCATTTTTACTTTTCAGAACTGTTAAATATATGAGCTTGTTTGGTTATAGCAGTGTTTTTCCATTGAGAAGCGAACAGAGATGACTTGGATCTTATTGCCTTAAGTTTGGCGCATCTGGGAAATGCTTATATCGATCTCTCATTTAATTTAATTTTTAGTGTCGCTTATTTGACTTACGAGCCGATCGTCAGGTCTGTAGCTACGAATACGACTGCAACTTTTTCCCGATTACTGGAGTTGATTTTAGTTATTGCGGTATATATTTCATATGCAGTTTAAGAAATTAGTTTTGTAAACACCTACATTTTTTATTTCTTCTGTTAGCTTGAATTAATTCTACGCGAATTTGAGTGGGTCTTGGTTTTTTTTGTTTGTTTCTTAAGGTTTTTGGTAAAGGGGGCTAAATAATCTTTTTTAATCTTTTAAATAGGAGTTGTTAGCGAGCCGGATCGGAGTTTTATTAGTTTTAGGAGTTTGTTTATGACGGCATTGTACTTTGTTTATGCTTACTTTACATTTTAATCTTATTGTTTATTCTTAAAATTATTAAGTGCCTCTTTCTTTCATAGTGGTTCAGCTTGAAGATAATTTTTGAATTGTTGATTCTTATATGGGAACTGTGTGATTTTGAACTGTAAAGCTGGTTTATTTTATGTTTTTCAAAAGATGTTCAGGCTTCAATAATTGTTAGCGGGCGTTGGAAGGCAACAAAAAGGTTTTTTACTGATTTGTGAACATATTTAGTCTACCCGGCAAGGGGTTGTTTTAAAACGGTACGCTTTTTGTGAATAAATTTCGCTTCTTCTAGGCCGATTGCTATTTGTTGGATGTGGAGATTATCGTGTGGGTGTTTGGGATGCTTTCAAGTGTCATCGCCAATGTGCTATATACGGGCATGAGAACCGGATTTCGTGGTTGCGTTCTAACCCTGATGGGTCTTCGATATGTACTGCTAGCTGGGATTGTACACTTAGGGTTTGTTTTTCTCACCAGCTTTGAAGAAGAACAGAGTTTCCTCTGCATCTTAGAAGCTGGGGAAATCATTGTATGCCAGAATCCCACAATAGATTGTAATTTTACGCAGGACATTTTAGTGACGGATTTGAGAGTTAAGTAAATTTGGTTCGGATAAGAATTGTAAAGTAATATATGAAAAATAGATGTGGATCCAATTCGTAAACTTCATTTCGTTTTAGATTTGGGCGTAATACATTTATTCCTGATGCTTCAGAAGTAATAGCTGTTCAGTCGACTTTAGTAATGTGTTTGTTGAATGCTGGCAGGACGCTTTATTTCAACAATATCAACTTCTTGTCATAATAAATTAGTCCTCAGTGAGCTTTATTTATTTCTCATTCTAAAAACTTTGGTTTTAGTCAAATTATTTGCACCGTAGCTGTTATTCTAATCTTTTATGCTTGAACGACTAATAATTTTGACTTCTCTGTTGATTTTTTTACGTCTTTGGGGCTCCGAGTTTGGGAATACATTTTCGAGGAGCTTACTTTAAATTTTTAAAGGCTTATCATTGATCTTCATCTATGTTTAGGGACACAATGCCTTACCTGATTACTGATTTTTTTTCGCACGTTTTATTATTTTTCTCAATTGTCAATTAGTCTTTTCTAGCTTCTCATGTTTACTGAAACTGACTCATATTTGAAGTGTGTTGGATGCTTTTTTAACTTAAAGGTAAAGGGAGTGTAGGAATTTTTTACGGATGGGGCGTTTTCGTGATTTTAGCCTACTGTCTTTTCCGATTAAAATTGCTGCTCATAACGTTCTTTAATGTTGAAAATCAGTTCTGTAACTTTAAGGCTGCTGGCGCAAATGGTTACTCTTATCGGCACTCTTGTAGTGATTGATTTCCAATTTGTACAATGTTTTTATATTATTATTGGTTCCGAGAGAAAAATTGAGTTTTATTTTTATAACGTTTGCAGAATTAGATGAGATCTTGCTAGTTTCCGTTTATGCCTGACTGAATTTAAAGTTTTGATGTCACCTTATTCTAGTAACTCAAAAGCGGGAAATGGTTGTAGATGTGAACGTTAACAGTTGCTTGAAAATTTTAAGTACGTCACGTAGATCCAGCTTAAAAGACTAAATTTTTAATGTTAAGTTGCGTTTCATTTAAAACGGAGATTAGTTGTTGGTGTGTCTTCCTTAAAGTGCTACTCATGTTTTATTATAGTTCGGAGAGCGGTGGAATATGACTCTTGGCTAATTGTATCCAATATTGTAGAAACGTTGTTTTTTAATCCAGGTTGGAAATTCAGCTTCAGTTTTGCTGAATTACTGGTCAATCTTTTATATCTAATTTATTCAGAAAAAAAAAACTTTCTTGTTTGCAGGCTACTTTGACTTAGACTGATGGCTTGCATTCATCCATGCTGAATTTAACATATTCTTTGAAAACGAATTGGTGCTTAATAAAATGAGCTTACCAGATAATCTGTTTTTGAACTAATGAAAACACACGATGTTGATGCATTATCAGTTTCTGTTGAAAGGGTTTTTTACTGAGTGTTTTCACTGAACGACTTTTATTGTATTTTTGATAAAAATTGCTGAGGCCTGCTGCATTATCATTTAGTTGCATTGAATCGTTGTGGCTGGTCGTCAGATTAATTTGAAGAGGACGTAGTGAGAGGCTTCTTGGGAGGAATTTGGCAGTTTTGGTGTTGCAGTTGAATGTTATTTTCTTGGTATTATGGTAGTTGGTTTTTGTACTGCACTGAAAAAAAAGTAACGATAAAAAGAGTGGGTTGTGAATAGGTGACAGGACCGATTTAGTGTGGTAATATAGTGTCCCAAAAGTCCGACATCGCATTGTATCACTTAAGAACTGTTTGCAACATAAGGCAGAAGTTTTTAAAATTGCATCTTGACCATCGTTAGTTGTTAATCGATTTATTTATTTTAAGATAAAAAGTTAAGTCAAAAAGTTAGGATTGCAGTTTACTAGTTTCAAATTTGAAGTCGGTCTTTGAAAACTGGTGAAGTTTACTTGTTTGCTAAATCATGGTTTCGGAAGGCAGTTCTAATGTGTAGTTTGTCACAGTGATTGCATTACTGCTTTTTTTTCATTGTGGATATAGTAAAACTTGCTCATGGCACTGACAGTGGCCGAATATGGTCAAGAAACGATTTTTTTTTTTTTGAATTGTGGTTTTCTGTACAGCAAGACTCAAACTTCTTGGACGTCTTACGTTGCAGATACGTGATACCAGGATTTTGGTAGCTGTACTTTTTCACGACAATGTAGCGAATGAAATGGATAACTAAAAAGAATTTCAAATACCACGAAACCTCAACGTATAAAGTTTGTTTTCGAAGCGTTCAAAGTAAATGTAGTTGAGAACAAGATTTAGAATACGGAATCAAGGGAGTACGTGAGATATTAAAAGATTTTTATAGTTGATAAAGGGGAGTGAAGCTAAAACTTTGCATTCAAAGTGGGGTTCAAAAAGTCAATAGCACTTTCGTAAATCAAGTTTCACTGTGTGAATGTTCGACAATCACGCAGAAAAGGTTATCGCGCCTTACAACAAATATGACGACGCTACTCTTCCTTAGCCCTGTGTTACTCTCAGCAGTTTGTCAAAGATGAAATGAGTAGGACGGCATTAGTTTCGTGCTCTCATTAATGAGTCCTGAAACTTTCTCTAACTTTTCCAATTGTTTACCGCACAGTGGTCTGTCTTAGC